TTGTCCTCTAATGTCCTCCACTGTCTCACCTATCCTCCACTATCTCACCTGTCATCTACTGTCTCCCCTGTCCTCTACTGTCCTCCACTGTCTCTCCTGTCCTTCATAACCTTTCAGTTTGAACCAATAAAGGATCCAGTTTTATTATTCAGTGTTTTGTTTATGAACAGCTGTTTGTTTACTTGTTTGCTTTGATTTTCCATGACAGTATTTGTTGTTAGTAGTTGTGCCGAAGACAGATTAGTGTCTTTAATCGAAGGATTTTTCCTGTAATTTATCGACTTGTTTGTTTGTTTTCTCGTTATTTATTTCTGCAGTAGAGTCTTTAGACTTCTGGCAGATATGAAGAAACTTTTTATGTCTTATTTTTTTCTTTTTCAAACGTCTGAAAAGTTTTGAGCCAATTATTCTGTAAAGCACTGAGTTGTTCAAAGTCCAACTTTATCGGTCCTGACGGATGAAGATGATGATGAAGGGTTAGAACCTGTTTTTGAATAAATGTAACCAAACGAAACGCGAAAAATGTTCTTCTTGTCTTCATTAATTGATGAAGATGGAGCCTCTTCATCAGTTTGAACTTAAATTCATATGAATAAACAAGTCGCTCGTTTAAGGTTGGATGTGAAAATTTAATAAATGATAGAACAATTAAAAATATATATATTTATAGAGTTCAAATCACAAAATATAAAGATGCTAGAGGTAAATTTCAGAACCAAAGTAGTTGATTGGTTTAAACAGATCCGTGCGCCGCTCACTTTCATGTCCGACGCGATGACGTAAACGCGTACGTGCTGCGTCATCAGAAGTATATATGTCTGTGGAAGCCATGCAGCGACAGGCTGAGGTGAGTGCTCTAAAGTCTGGAGGGAAGTGTGCTTTGGCTGCTGCCTTCAAGTACTCTGTCTGAACCCCGGGTTTCGTTGGGCATAGTCCGGTTTGGGGCTGCGGTGCTTGGGCAGCTGGTTCTGTCCAGGACCAGGTCGGTGAAAGGGGTAGATAGTCCGGAACTGACACGCTGCTTCGATGTAGGAGAGGCGGTGTCGGTCCGTTCAGTTTAAACGCTCAAAGTGTGTGAAGGAGATAAATGCTGCTTCCTGCAGCAGGTAGAAGATTCTGTTCACTGTAGCTTCTGTGTTAGAATAGGTCCATCTACATCATGTTGGCATAAAACCTGGATTAATCCTGAATAAGACCTGTATAAATCCTGGATTAATCATGAATAAGACCTGTATAAATCCTGAATAAAATGTAGATTAATCATGAATAAATCCTGAATA